GGCTCGTCATGCTCCTGGCCTCGGCCGTGGTGGTCTGGGAATGGCTGAACGAGCACGGCCGCTGGCGGCCCTACAGCCCGGCCGTGAGCCACCACATCGAGGCGGTGGTGCGCGCCGGCCCCCGCGCCGGGGGCAGCGTGGTGCTGGGCCAGGTGGACGGCCGTCTGGCGCCCTACATCATCGACCTGCAGTCCATGAACCAGTTCCGCCAAGACACGGGTGAGCTGTCGCCCCTGCCCTCCCTGAGCCCGTCTCCTTCCCTGGCCGGGATCTCCAGGCGCAGCCACCCGCCGGCCACCCAGTCGGCACCCCGCCGCAGTGGGGTGGGTTACCAGGAGGTGTGTGTGTGGGGGGACCGCTTTGCTCCCCGAGATCCTGTTAGCCCCCTGGCCCCATTAACGTCCAACCACGTCGTATCGGTGTCAAAACGCTCTTCCACGCCCCCTTTGCAGCCCTTGCGGGCTCGGAGCCCTCCGGTGTGGACATGGGCCGCCCCAGTGCACCAACCATCCCAGCCCCTCGCCAAGGCGCTCAGCCCGCACACCTGGGCCGACCCCGCTTTGCTTCAGACTTGTCGTAGCTGCCCTCCCACCACCCTTTATCGCCTCTGCCCGTCCAGTGTCGGATTAGGGAAGGAAGAGGGATTCCCCTGGAGGCTGCCCTGGCCCTGGACGGGTACGCGAGGGGCCGGAACCTCCCCGGGAGGAGAGGCCGGCGTTGGCGAGACTCCGGGCTGCAATCTAGGCGCCGTGGGGCCCTGGTGCGGCTGCAGGCACACTCGGGGCGCTGAAGCAACAGGCCGGAGCAGATGGAGAGAGGGAGGGCAGGACGACTGGGGAATGCCGGGCGGGGAAGCCGCTCCCTTTGTCCGCGGATTCCGAGGGAGAAGCTGTCCCTGGGCTTCCTCCTGAAACCGTGGCCTCTGAGGGAAAGACGTGCTGACCACCCGGAACGCTTAACTGTCTTTTTATGAGAATCAGGTGGCACTGTGGCCGCCACAGCCCTGCCTCTTAGCTGAGCAGCCTTTCCAGGGCAGGGGGAGGAAGGGCGCCTGCAGGGTGGGGGTCACGGTGTCAGGTGATCACTGGAGCGGGGAACAGGACAGACCATTTGTTTGCTTGGCTCAGCTTGGACGGAGACTTCATTAACAACCTGTGACAAGTGTCTGCTGTCTCCCTAGGAATCTCCTCAGTGAGCAAGGGAGGCAGGGTGGGAGAGGGTTCTAGAATTCTGTCCGGACTTTGAGCTGAGCAGGGTGTAAGGGAGGGACCGCCTCTGCCGAAGGGAGGCAGGTGTGGTGGGGAGGGAGGGGTGGGGAGGGAGGAGAGAGGATGATGGGAGAGGCCCCAGGGGTCAGAGAACAGCTGTGTGAGCATCTCCGGGAAAGCCCCCACATCCTGTGTGCTAATTGGGATTGTCATGGGAAAGGGGCATCGTTGTTCCAGTCCCGGTGTCCATCCTTTAGTCATAACTCCCAGCAACCTCTCTGCCAAGGACCTTGCAGATGCTGGCTGCTGGAGTCAGGCTTTCTGGGGAAAGGCGTCTGGAAGCGTTAGCATCTGGAGGGGCTTAAACCTGGGTAGGAAAGGCAGGGGGCGGGGCTGAGGGAGACTGTGAGGAGGAGGGAGGAAGGAGGAATGTGGCAAGATTGAGAAAGAGGATTAAGTGTTGCTGATGGAGAGAATGTAATTGTGCAATCTAAATAGAGGTTGGAGGTGAGGGTGGAGGCGTCAGATGGGGGAGTGTGTGTGTGTGTGTGTGTGAGTGAAAGAATGAGAGGGAGAGAGCGTGCCCATGTGTGCGTGTGCCTACGTGTGAGAGAAGCCGCTGAGCAAGGAGGTGGGACCAAGGACACCAGCAGTTCAGACACCTGACAGGGAATTCCAGTCCTGCTCAAAATAGACCAGCAGGTGTTAGCTTTTCTATTTCAGACGGAATCTCTGCAGCATATGGTTCTCTGCTCTGGTGACATAAAGGCTTCAGTCCCTCTCCAGCACTCGGGAAGGATAAAGCATCTGTGTTTGGGAGTAACCTAGAAGGCTCGTGGAGTCCCTGGGTGGTGCAAATGCTTAAGGTGACGCCCTCAGCTGCTGGCCTAAAGGTTGGAGGTTCAAATCCACTCAGGTGCCTCAGAAAGGCCTGGTGGGGTCTTTGTCCAAAAAATGAAAACGAGCCATTAAAAACCCCCTGATCCCCCTGGGGGCGCAGTGAGTCGCAATCAACTCAACAGTAACTGATTTTTTACAAGAGTCATGATACCTAGGACAGGTCATCGCATGAAGGACCCGTTCAGCACAAGTGAAGTTCTACAGAGGATTGGGCCAAGGGACAGAAGCTACCGCCCCTGGGTCTGACCCCTCTTACCTTAGGAGCAGGCCCACTCACCATGGCCTGGGGGTCAGCAGCTTAGTTAGAGGCTGGGCGCCTCGGATTTTAAAACGGAGGCAGAAAACTGGCCCGGAGGTCATTTTTAAGATGGCCTCTGGGTGTTTTCTCCATCCTTGTTTCTCCTTGAGGTACACTTGGTACATTCTTATCTTTCCTTGAGTGCTTTGGTTTCATCCACTCGTTCTCATCACCTCCCGGTCAGTGCGCACGGAACACCACCCCTCTCTGTGCCAGGCCCCGTGCTGAAGCCACGGGCTGCGCTCCCAGGAATTCTGGGTCTGCTGAGGAGCTTATCAAGTTAGAATAGGCCTGTCTTCTGGGTGCTGGGCTCTGAGCCCCCTCCTCTCCCTTGTCTGCCAACACACACAGCAACTCAATATAGCTCATTGATGAGGCGGTGACATGGTAGGAACGTTAAACCACCAGCTCCCAGGCAACCTCAGCCGAGCCCTGGCAATGTTTAATTAAATTACCCACCAAGCCCCAAGCCACAATTTAAAGCTGGGGACCAGAAGTGTCCAGTGAACAAAGGAGAGCTGGAAGTCCCCTGCTCAGAGGCGATTCCTCTCCTTCTTTGTTGCCTCTGATGTATGGAGACATTTCCTGACATGGAACCTTTGTCTTCTTGGAAGTTGCCTGCTCACTGTCCAGTCCTCCTCCCTCCACTCCCCTGGGCTCCTGACCTCAGCCAGCTGTCTCCAGGGAGATGGCTGGGGTGCTGCAGACATCATCCTCCTGCCTGTCTGCCCTGAGGCTTCTTCCCCTGGCTTCTTAGGGTCTGGGTTCACTTACATTCTGTGCTGGTCTCCTCTAGGCACTTGGGGCCAGAGAATCGGAGGAAGGACAGGGATGGGTGAGGGAGAGGAGAGTGGGCATGGGGAACTTCTAAAAGCCTTGGTCAGGATCCTCTGCACCGGCTTTTATCTTCGGCCTCACTTTCCCCTGGATCTTCCAACACACCTGGTCGCTGCCACCGCCAGGGTCCAAGCAGCAGGGTGGTAAAGCCCACGCTGGAAGTTGGAGACGAGACTCTGGCTCTTATCCCAGACTGGCTGGCTTACTGTGTGACCTTGAGCACGTCCCTTAGCTGCTCAGGTCTCTCTCTGCTCTGGATTCCTTCCCACTTTTTCCTCCCATCCTGTATGTAGATCAGCAGGTGAGGGCATTTGGCCCCCTGCACAGTGATGATGTTAATAAGAATGTCCATGGTGAGGGCAGGGTTCTTTCTGGCACAGCATTTCTGTGCAAATTTTGCCTTCTTTATGGAGTCCCTGAGGGTGCTCTGGTGGGGTAGTGCCTAAGGCATTTGACTGCTAACCAGAAGGCTGGTGGTTCAAATCCACCAGCCACTCCTGGGAAGGAAGACTGTGCAATCTACTTCCGTAGTGATACCACATCAGAAACCCAAGGAGGGGTTGCTATGAGTCCTATTGACTCATGACTCATAGCAGTGAGGTTTTTTTTTTTTTTTTTTTTTTTAGTGTGGAATCCCTGAGGGGGGCTGCAAATTGTTAAGCTCTCAACTACTAGCCAACAGGCTGAAGGTTTGAATCTCTCCAGAGATGCCTTGGAAGACAGGTCTGGCTATCTGCTTCCAAAAGGTTGGGGCCCTGAAATTCCTATGAACCAACTTCTACTCGACTTGATGGCGTCTCCCAACAATCGTGTATCTTTAATGCAGTGAGAAGAGTTGGGTGAAGAGCAAGAGTGAGTCTGACTAAAGAGTTTGGCAGCAGCCCCCACAATATCCTCCGACCCCATGTGAGCACAGGAATGGAGGGGCAGGTAACACGATGGCCACAAGACAGTTGCAGTATCGAGGACGTGCCATGTGCCGGCACCGTGCCAAGCACATTGCACACGTTGTCTTGGTTAATGCTCAAGCAACCTTGTGAAGAATCTGTTGTCATTCCCGTATTACAGAAAAGGAAGCAAGATGAAAGAGATAGTGTTCAAGGTTTCACGCTAGTCAATGGCACAGCTGAGACAAGTGTCCCACGCTCTGCTCCTCCATTCTGTCAACAGTTACAGAGCACCCACCATTCGAGGCACGAAGGATATAGCAATAACAAAACATCCAAGTGTTTGCCCTCATGGAACATTCTGCTGAGGGAGAGAGGGGCCAGGGACAGAGGCCTGGGATGGCCTGGACACAGTGGCTGCCACAGCCGCAGGGGGTCACTTGAGCAGATGTGGGTGTAATGCCCCAGAGACCTCCTCCGGGTGTGTCTAGAAGGTGCTGCTTCCCATGGCGCAGGGACTAAAACACCCTGTGTGCTTTGGGGTGTGGGTGTCTGAGTTGCTTGGAAAGCTACTATTCTTTCTTTTTGTTCCTGTGAGCATCCTCTGTTCCCAAGTATCCTGTTAGACACTTGGGGGTCACTGCACCTTCAGGCCAGATGGAATTTCCTCAGATCACTTAGTTCCCAGGCCTGACTCTAGAAAGGCCCATGACTAGCTCATTCTAAGCAAGTTGGTCTCTGAAAATAATTAGAGAATGAAATGCCACCCTCTTTCCGGTCCCAAATGTTGGTTCTGAGGCCTTCCTACTCTTCCTAGCTACCTTCTGGGCCTACTCCAGCTCCTCTTGGGCTGAACTGAACTATAGAACTTGCCCTCCAAAAAAGCAGCTCTTCCTTTTGACACCCAACTGTCTGTTAATGGTGCCTCAGAATTCTTTGATTCATTCTAGTATTCAGAATCTTACTTGGCTGCCTAGTACCGGCAGATGCCTCAAGCCTGTGAGGCAGCAGCTCAGACTTTACTGTACATGGAAACCCAGGCCTGGTATTCACATGCAGATTCCGCCGCCAGGCCCCTGGAGATGCTGC